TGGGGTGCATCAGGGCTGGTGCTGCCCTTTCCCCTCTCAGACCGTGCTCCATAGGCTGAACTCACCTCTGCCCACTCTCCGACTCAGTTTTTCTGTTGGAGCACGCACATCGTAGGGACAGCAGCTGAAAACAACCGTTCGTCCTTTCCCATCCCACCCTCCTTCACCTTCCACCTTCCACAACAATGTCTTTCTTCTTGCTCCCTCCCTCCCTCCGACAGGGATTTCAAACGGCATTTCCCTTCCTGCTGCCAAACGGATGCTCGGGCGCACGGAGACAGTAAAACATCGCTCTGACGGCCCTTGCTGATGCGACGTCCCCTCCCATTACTGGTGCAGCAGCATCAGGTTATACGCTGTTAACAGCCTTTCCACTTGGTTACAGCTCCACTGGCATCACTCCCGGGTTTAGCCCTGCTGTTTTACCTCCCCGCACGGCTCGGGGACCCTCCCCTCAATGTGTGTGCGATGTGTATTTCAACACGGGGAGCTGGTGGGGCCATCGCCAGCAGCCAGCACGTCGAACGCACATTACAGCAAAGCCAACGAACCTCATACTGGGTGAGGTGCGGGTCTGGGGAGAAAGGGATTCTGGTTTTTGTGAAGTGAGTGAATAATTCACAGACAAAGCATTGACATGACAAATTCCTCCATCTCTCCTCTTTTGTGAATTGACAGCAAAGAATTTTCCAGTTCCTCCCCTCTGCATTTTCATTATCCAGAATTATTCACTAAACAATCGCCTAGAATAAATCTGGGGAGCACATTCTCTGCTGGGGATGTCAGCACTGACGTCAGGGGAATTAGCGCTGGCAGGAGCTTGGGTTCAGAGGCAGGGCCGTCCACAAGCCTTTCATCACCAGGACTGGTCTCTAGATTTTGAGCCATGCTGATTAGCTGTGGCAGAGCAGAGAGGCTGGACGGTCCCATTTTCTCTTCCGTTAGACCAGCAGAGTTCCGCAAATCATGTTTTCCACCGTGAATACTTATGTTTACAAACTAAGGGAGGTTGAAATCGCCGAGACGCAATGATATATCGCATTGGCGCTTCCAGCAGCACTTCTGCCAGCAGGTTTCATCTCCAGCCCTGCAGGACCAAGGGGAACACCGTGGGATTTCTACATTTCCATTCCAGCCGCTGCAAACGAGCCCTGCCCTTCACAGGAACACCTGCACAGTGCCATACGGGCTCCTGAACCCGCCGCCAGGCTCACCAGTGCAGCTCACTGCCTTTGATATTCCTGGGAGGTGAAAGAAAACAGCTGAAGGTTTGTTTGCTTCTTCATTTCATGGGAAATTTTGGAAGCGGCTTTTGCTCGGTTCTGCACTTCATTTATTCATTTACAGACTGACCCAACCCCCAAATGAACAACTGAATGTCTTCAGTATACCACGATTCTGATTCAGAAAGTCCTTGATATTTGTCTGCCTGCAGTTTCCAATAAGTTAAAGCCAGCTGACCTAAAATACCAAATGCCGAGGGAGCTCTCTGGCTGATGACTCCTGGTATCTGACAGCAACTCTCTGGGGTGTATTTTCTGTATTTATTTATTGTAATTGATGTTGTGGTAAGGCATTAGCTGTCTTTTTCTATCTGCCAAGCCACAGGAATGTGGCGTTCAGATCACAGCTAACCCTTGCAGGAGGTTAACCTCCGCGGGAAAGAAAGCACAAACACCAATATGGTGGATGCTATCTGTTCGATTTATTAACTGCGCAATTGCTTTATATACCCCTTTCTGTACCTCGCGAGATCTTTCGTTCCCGGTACTTTCTGTGCATCAAGAGATCTTTTCATGTGCCTCCTGTTTTTCCCGTACATCGGGAGATCTTCCGAGCGCCTCCCCCTACACTTCCCCCTCCCCATGCTATATCGACCATGCGTCAGAAGTTGTAAAAGACCGATGCCTTCCGGATCTTCCCTTTCTTTGTTTCGCGGCAGCACCCGCAAGAAACATCCGAGAGCTGTATCAATCAAGGGTTAGACAAACTTCAAAAACAAAGCACACTTAGAATAGTTCCACAGAAGGCTAAAACAATACAGCAGTCATGATTACTAATTAAAAGATAACCTATTTTCACTACTTATAATTAAGGGATGTGACTAATTACTACAAAAACAAACAATGAGGAAAATATGAAGTAGCACACTTAATTAATAGAAATACTAATGTTCAGATCCGCAATTGCTAGGGAACCCTGGATGCAGCGAGAATTTAGAGTGCCCTTCCTCTCAAACAGGAGATCCTAAGCGATGCGTCCATCCGTAGGTAAGACATCCAACATCGCTGCAAGTAGGTCCAGCCTCTAAATCAACAGGCCAAAATAACTGGCACTTTTCTTTGAGCAGAAACATCTGATTTCATCCTCCTGTTGGGTTCCAACCAGTCTGGCCAGTACTCCAGGGGGGAAACCAAGGGAGTTTCTAAATAAGGTTAAACAGTTAAGATCTTAATTCTTAATATTCCTAAACAAAGAAAGTTCAATGCATGCATTCTTACAGCATTTCATCCTTATTAAAAACTACATTTTATCTAAACTACATCTTTCACTATTGACTAATAAATCTAAATATTTCATTAAGGCAACTGTAGTGTGGTTCGTTCTGTCGCAGTAGCAAACATTACCCAGACATTCTGCTTAAAAAGATCAGTTGAAGAGATTGCGAACACTTGGTACAGATGCATCCACAGCACCCACAGCTGGATCCTGAGTGCTGGCTGCCTCTCATACCTCACGTGTGGTTGCACACACCTTGTCAGTAATCACCAGGGACCGTGACCTGTGAACACAGAAGCGTAACCTCTTCTCCAGGTTATTAACGAAAATGGTTCTATTTGCACCACACCTTTCCACCATCCATTAATTTAACCTTACCAAATGTTTGTGTTGTTGCCACCAAAATTAATATTTTGGGTAATGGTGTTGACCTGTGATAAACAAAAGAGTTCTTTTCCCATCTCATTTGCTATAGTTACCCATATGTTAGGTCTGGGCGAGATGATTTGTCTCACAAAGGATCTATGTAGCAAAAGGCCACAGAAAATCTGCAAAACTTTTAAGAAGAAGTGGTTATTTCAGGTTTTATACATCGTGCAGGTATCCATTTAATTAAACTGCTGCATACCCACGCCCAAACACTCTCAGCGACCAGCCCGATTCCCATGTCATCGCTCCCGGTTCCTTGATCCGAAACAAGGGATAATTTCTTGTCATCTGGGTTGGCACAAAGTGTTTCCACAGGGGAGGCGTGGACTCGTTGCCTCTAACAAAGTGATTTAGAGCATAAAGGGCTCGGGACAAAAGAGTCTGCTGTCGGTCTGTGGGTATTGTCCCCTTATGACCTTCCCCCTCCCCAAGCTGTTGTAGTTTTGCTTTTAGGGTGCGATGCGCACGTTGCACTATTACTTGTCCTTGACTGTTGTAAGGAAGGCCGTGTACTAACTTCATGTGTCATAATGCACACCATTCTTTGGTACGTTTAGCGATGAAACAAGGGCTGTTATCTGTCTTGATTTCTTGTGGCTTCCCTAATAAGGCAATGACACCCTCCCAATGAGTAATAATGTGTCTGGCTGTTTGTTTGCGAGCCATCATGGCTAATATTGTAGAGCTAAAGGTGTCGATAGTTACTATGAGGTATTTATTTGGTTTCAATAGGTCACATTCTGTTATGTCAGTTTGCCATATCTGATTGGAAGAGAGACCCCGTGGATTGACACCTGCTTCCCACAATGGGCCCTTTTGGCAGTAGGGACAAAATGCCATTATGTTTTTTGCTTGTGACAGAGAAATATGACGTGTTTTCGCTAAGGCTTTCGCTCTGAGGTGTAAGGCATGTAAATGCTTTGCAACATCTAGTGACCATACACCTCGAGCCACCTGGGCAACGTTATGACTGCCTTCTACAATTGGACCAGGTAGGGACTGGTGACTGTTCACATGTGTAAGAAAGACCTGCCCTATGCGTTGTTGTAGAGCATCATAAAGTAAAGTTGACACTTCTGTCTGTACAAATCCTACTGTTATCATTTTGTGTACCAGTTTATAAACATATCAAGAGTCTGTAACAATATTAATTGGATTCTCTGTTTCCTGGTGAAGTGCCAATAAGAGGGTGCATGACTAGAGGTAGTGTAAGTTGTAGCTGAAGTTCTTTCAAGTGTGAAACCCATTGTAGACCCTTTCCAGTTACTATGGAGATCAGAAAGTCAAAGATGGCACACTGTAAATCTTCCGAACGCATAACTATATCATCCCATACTTGTTGTTTCCAGGGGATGAGTATTGTGTCAGGTTCCTTTCCGAAGTGTTGAAGGGTCACATTACGTAGGCGTCCTATGAGGTCTGCTATAACAGCGACTATGGTAACAAAGGTGGACTTGTTGGTATTTTGGCAAGCCCAGGCTAAAGGCGCAGGCTTGCCGTCCGTGCCTTGAAATAGGATGACTATTGTGCCATGGTCAGAAATAGAACACCCTGCTATGATTGGATGTTTTGAATCCCATCGCTGGAAAGGTCTCTGTTGTCATAAAATAGTTTGTAAAAGTGCTAAATTGTCCTGGCACTCCTTTGTGAGTTTCTTTGGTTCCCACAAGTGTTGTCCTTTCAGCAATTCATAAAAGGGTTGCATAAATCCCAAAGGAATACAGATAAAGGTATGGAGCCACAGTAAGGCTCCTACTAATTTCTGAACATCATGTAGAGTGGCAATGTGTGGAGCAAGAGCTATTGGTTGTGGACTTATGTCGTTCCCAGCTAAAGTTATACTCAGATATTGTAATTGTGTACCTCGCTGGATTTTTGCCTCGGCAATGCTCAAATTATGTTGTTGCAACAAGGCTTTGGCACGCTGGAACAGATGTTCCACTTGCTGCTCTGTAGGTGCTGCTAATAAGATGTCATCCATGTAGTGTACCACATGATGGTCAGTCTTACCTTCTCTCAATGGTGCAATGGCTTTGGCAACATACAGCTGACAAATGACGGGTGAGTTTTACATACCTTTAGGTAGTACAGTCCATTGCCAATGCTGAGCTGGCTGAGCGAGGTTCACAGAAAGCACAGTAAAGGCAAATCTTTCTTTGTCGGCAGGATGTAAAGGGATGCTGAAAAAACAATCTTTGATATCAATAGTCACAATGGACCAATCTTTTGGTATGGCGGAACCCCAGGGCAGTCCAGGTTGCAGGGCACCCATGGCCTGCATCTGTTGATTTACAGCCCTGAGGTCATGGAGTAAGCGCCACTTAGCCTTATCTTTCTTTTGGATAGTGAACACAGGAGTGTTCCAGGGTCTTGTAGAGTGTTCCAAATGACCCACCTGTACATGTCTTTCTACTAATCGTTGAAGTGCACTTAGTTTTACTGAATTAAGTGGCCAGAGGTCAACCCACACGACTGAAGAAGTTAACCATGTAAGTTTTAGGGCTGGTATGTGTTTGGCAGTGGCCTCTAATCTAAATTTGTAATGCCAGTTTTCATTTGTTGCATGCAGTCAAGGCCCAACAAAACTCCCTGGAAATTTGGTAATACTATAGGCTTTAGTATTGCAATCAAGGCCCCTTTCTTCTGGTCTTGGATTTTAAATGTTGTGTCGGTGATTGCTTGGTATACTGGTTTTTCTCTTCCGACACCTGGCACAAATCCCCCAAATGTAGTTTTCCACTGTCCTGGCCACCATTTTTTGCCCACAACTGTTATATCAGCTCCTGAATCAATCATGGCCTGCAGCACTAGTTCTTCTGTTCTTCCTGGGCGAGGCTGGCTCATCCAAACGGTGACCATGGCCTTATCGCTACAATCTAAAACGAGAGCCACAGTTCCTGGCCCTGAGGCACGTCTTGTGGACATTTGTGAGCATACTTGACTGTCATTTGGGGAGTATAGGAGAAGTTGTCTCTGATTTTTGGAGATTACTTGCAGGTCATTGGAGGAGCTTGGCCCCCATTCCTGGCTCCTCCCCTTTCATTTACCTAATGTTTATACCAACAATCTCATGCCCAATGACCTGTTTTGTCGCATACCCAGCAAGGTGCAGTTATCAAGGAAAGTGGTTCTTGTCGCTTCATCCGATGAGATCTTTTATCAACACCAGAGAGGTTGGTTTTTTTTTTCTATATGATATAGGTTTTTCTGCAAGATGGATGTCACCTGGGGCATGTGTCATTGCCTCCTTTTGCACCACTTGTCCTAAGAGGGTGCGTATAGGTGTATTCAAAGGCATATCCTTTATAATATCCTTGATCATTAGATTAGATTGCTGTTGGATAAATTCTATTATTACAGCTTCCTTAGCACCATCAGGTAAGTCTGATTCTGACTGCAGCGTGGAGCTTATTAACACATTTCAAGAACAGTTCATTTTGTTGTTGCTTAATAGAGGTCCATAGGGGTTCTGTGTTTCTAACTTAGCTATATCTATGAAAGATTTTTACCAGCTTCAGTAGTGGCAGTAAATTCCCTGGGTCTGAGTTGTAATTGAGCAGGGGTTGTTCAAAATGCTCCTCGTCCTGTAAGGCGGTCGAAAGCTGTCTCCATGGGAGGGGTGTTGTAGATCTACGGTTGTAGAGTGAAGCTTTACTCCTAATATTATACAGTCTTTCAGTATGAGCTGCCAATCAGTAGGGTGTTTTTGTAAACAAGAGGAAGCAGCCTCGCCCAGGATCAGACGTGTCAGTTCCGGTAGCAATATCGTAATTTCCTCCTCCTTTTTTTTTTTTCCTCCCTTTCTAGCAACTCCCCTGACTTTCCCATGTGATTGGATTTAGGACCGCTGTCGTCTGATTCGTCATCTGACTCCGCCTGAGTTTTTTGATGTCAGCAATGAGCAAAATGACTGCCTGATTGTTTTCTATTGCAGGTGTCAGGAGGCTCTGCCACAGTCCAAGGGTTCCCTTCCTCCAGACGAGGGGCTGCACCCGGAAGCCAATTGAGCAGGGGATCCGGCCGGAGCCGCCCCTTTTTGCTCTCCTGCTGTTTTTGAAATGCCTGCATTTCTTGTTTACATTCTTGGATTTGTTTTCTCCACTCCTCATCCTCTAAGTCAGCCAGTTGTATTGCGGCTTTTGCTTTTTGTGATGTTCCCCGAGGGTATTCGTAGTTGGGGGGGCGGGCGAACTGGAAGGACTAGTGCCACTTCCGCTCCCTTTGTTCTCTTCAGGGGGTTTGCCTTCTATAGGCCACGCCGCCCCTAGCTTTATACCTTCCTCCTTAGAGGAAATATCTGCAAGGGCCTCTGTCTGAGTAATTTTCTCTGAGGAAACTTGCAATGCCTTATGCACATCCTTATATGCATGCTGTTCGGCTTGGGCGGCTTTCATCAATGCATTTATTTTATCCCAAGTCATCAAGTGCTGCGGATTTCCCTTTTTTTCCTGCTCTTTTAAATCAGCTTTTATCAGGGGCCACAGCTCAGGCTTCATACAATCCATCGGCTGAGCCAGAATACCGAGCTTTAATGATCTTTGTAGCATCTCTTTTAAAGCACTCGACTTCATAGAAGTCTTATATTTTCTGCCCCATAATTTTACCTTTATTGTGGCCTGCATGGCACGCCGTGGAGTCTCCCGTCCTGCGTGGAGCTCCTTTGCCTCCTGCTGTGTACCGCCAACAGCCACCGTCTGCACGTCTGGGTCACCACTTGTTGTGGTAAGGCATTAGCTGTCTTTTTCTATCTGCTAAGCCACAGGAATGCGGCGTTCAGATCACAGCTAACCCTTGCAGGAGCTTAACCTCCGCGGGAAAGAAAGCACAAACACCAATATGGTGGATGCTATCTGTTCGATTTATTAACCGTGCAATTGCTTTATATACCCCTTTCTGTACCTCGCGAGATCTTTAGTTCCCTGTACTTTCCGTGCATCACGAGATCTTTTCATGTGCCTCCTGTTTTTCCCGTACATCGGGAGATCTTCCGAGCGCCTCTCCCTACAAATTGAGACATCTGACACCAAGAGACCATAAGTAATTTCCAGCTCTCTCCAAATCACCAGCAGGGTTCCAGTTCCAAGCCTCTTATCATCATCAATTCTGCTGCAAAACCTTCTGTGCTGGCTGTCAGTGATTTGCAACACATAACTTGAGGGAGAGAATTGCTTGCAGTTCTCCCCTTCATCTTCTCAGGAAAATCAGCCTGTGTTGGGCAGGCCAACCAGACTGTCGTGACCATAAAACCCCTACAAATCTGGGGATCTGACTTTCTGTTCTTTGAAAGGTTTTAAGTCAGTGAGAAAATGTAGATGTCATATCCCTATTTCCAATCCTACCCTGGGAAGGATATTAACGTCTCTGGTCATTTCTCTGATGCAGCGTCCACTTTCCCTGCATCATGTCCCTGCATTTGGATTGAGGTTAACTCCTGTCACCATCCTAGACCTATCTGTTCACAGAGGTGATCACAAAATTATCTCCCAACAAGTGACAATGTTTTCTAAACACAAACCTGATTTCTGCAAAAACTAGTGTCTTCCCTTGCTGCTAAACCCCTCTAGTTAAAAGTTCTCTCACCACAGAGAGGGCGATTTCACACCGAGGAAATCCAATTGCAGACCAGCAAGCTTTACTTCTGCAGTGCCTCGGGTAATTGCCAGGCGAGCTGGAAAGAGCTCCCTGTACAGACGAGATCTTCAGACGCTTTTCTCTTCAAATCCTTCCTCCGGTGCGTCGCTTCCACCAGCTCCACCGCCTTGCAGCACGTCTGTGTGAGCATTGCTAGCAATCAGTAACCTGTTCTTCTTAGATGCAAGAGTAGTTCCTCGTACGCTTCCATAGCAGGAGAAAACACCCCACAAGGGATGCTGTGCCTCCAGCCCCAGCAGCGGTGCTGCGGAGGCAGACAGACCCCACAGCCAACATAGAAATCCGATCAGCCCTTACTTTATAGAAGGATCGGGACACATCCGTGTTTGTAGTTTCAACCTCACTCTTTCAAAGAGATGTGTCCCTGTGCTTCAGAATGACTCAGTTCTGGCAGGGAGCAGCTCTTCCTGCCCACCACCCTCCCATCCCAGTGTCCGGGGAAATCCCAACTCAAGTTCAAGTCCCCCGGCCATGCCGTTGACCATCAAACACCATCTACCCCGTTATGCTTAAAACAAACAAATACAAACCTCAAGGACAGAAAGAGAGAAAGAAAGGAAACCCAAGCCACCATAGTTAGTCCCAGACAGCACAGCCGTGCTCTTCTCTCATCAGCACACGCTACCCCCAGGTGCCTGGAGTGCAGCAGAGTTGGGACATCATCTGGGGTCAGACTGCTGCCTGGAAAAATGCACTTGGCTGATGCAAAGGTGACTATCCCTTAGCTGGGTTGGTTTGTTTGTTTTGTGGGGGGTTGTGGTGTTGGGTTTTTCTCAACAGAAATAGTGGATAGGACCTGATGTCTCAGTTGCCCCATTTGGGCAAGTGACGTACGTGGTGGCTGAGGTGAGGGTGAGAAGCTTAGGGACTGACAGGAAAGTTTAGGCACAAAGAGATAAAGCCCATGGTTTTTGGACATGTAACCCCTGCTGGCACTGAGGATGGGTGAAGCCCTGTCAGACCAGCAGGACCCACACTGCGCTGCTCTGTGGGCTCACCAGGGCTAGAGCCAGAAAGAGAAGCCACCACCATCACTGGCAGGGTGCTGTGGGCCTGTCAGACACACAGGTCTCCTTAACCCGGCCACAGTGCCAATGTGGTCACGCTGCCGCCAAAAGCCAGTCTCTCAACACGAGGCTGCAGTCCCCGATGCAGACAGACCCTAAATCGATGCTCACAGCGACACTGGGAGGCCCCCCCCCCCAGAGCAGCCCCCAGGCACGCAGCTCCCCACTTGTTCCCCGACCTCTGTTCATCCAGCGCCAGCAACATCTACATGCAACATCCCCACCAGAGCCCTAGGTCTGATGTGTGCAACGATACAGCCCTTTTGCCATGGGAAAGCAGGAAAAACACATCTCTCACCCTCTTCGATGGGCCTCAGAGGATGAATCTTCCCAGCTCAGGGCAGGAGATACTCTTGTGCTTCCTGGCCTCACTCGATGTGTTTGCAAATCCTCCTGCCAGCTAGCTCTAGGCATCCTGCAGCAGGAAAAGATGGTGTCCATCAATATTCAAGGCACACAGATGCAGGGAGAGAGGAGACAGGTAGGGAGAGCCTCTGCCACAGCCAGATGAATGGATCTTGCTCAGAGGCAGCGCGGGAGGGTGGTTGTTTGCAGGGTCTGTGTTCTGCCGCAGGCGTTAACCAAACTCTGCTCTCACAGTCCTCCCATCCCTGCCCACAACCACCCTGCCCGGGCATCGTGTCCCAGCCCAGGCCCGCGGATCCTGACCAGGGGCCCTGGAGCCATTCCAGGGCTTTGCACACTACAAAGCAGCCCTGGTTCTTTTAATTAGCCGGAAAATGTAAATGAGCACGGCGTGTGCACAGGCCCCTGCTGTAGAGCCCAGGAGAGTGCTGCACGCTTCTGGGGTCACCGTCAGTAGAGGGAAAAGCCATTTGGCACCCAGGCTGCCGGCAGCGGGCTCACAGGCAGGCTCCATGGAGCAGCACGAGCAGTGAGCACTCCCCAGCAAGCCAGACCAGACAGCTCCCTGGGATCGAAATCCCTGGGCCCTGCATGCACCCAGATCGGGGACCGTGGAGGGAACGTTCCCCAGGACCAAGAGCAGGGTCCTGGCACCACCACCATCTCCTTCCCATCCATGCCCATGCGTTACTGGCCACTGATCCCACCACCCAACCCCAACC